TGTGTGTGTGTGTGTGTGTTTGTGTGTGTGTGTAACAGAGAGAGAGAGAGAAAAAATGAAAACTGCTTTGACAGTTCCATTGCAACTATATTGTTCAGAATATAGCAGCTGTTTTCCAGGGTTTAAAGATTTTTGTGTTTGTAAGGTTTCTAGCTCATTGTAAAGTATTTTCTTGAAATATAATAGGAACAAAGGAAATATTTTTGGTTGCTTTTTTTGCTTTTTCAGCTGGATTTTAAATTTGTAGAACTGCAGACCTAAATACTTCTATCAGGAAGGAAGTTCTATTGCAACCAGTTGGGTTTTCATCTACGTTTGTGAGCAGGTTTTAAGTTAAGAGAACTTGTGTTTGTTCACTTCTAAGTAAACATATCTCAGATGACATAATCTGTTTTTTTTGTGTCAGGTGTTCGAAGGGTTTTATTCACATTTGTAACAAATAAAGTTTGTTAGAATAAAGATTGCAATATTATGATATTGGGGCAAACGTTTTTCTAAAGAACAAGTTAACTAGTTGGTGCTGGATTTAAAATATAAAGCTTCACATTGATCTTTCTGCAAACTGGTTAATCTTGGTTCTTACCTTAGTTTACAGAATTATCAAAAAAAGATAAAAGGGGAAAGGCAATGCTGCCTGATCAGGGTCATTATTGAAAACAAGTGTTTTTCTGCTATGTGTTGTTTAAATTACTCATAGTATTTTAGAAGGCCATATCTTTTAAGTAAACTTTTCATTTTTCTAATTATAAGGATAACTTTAAAAACCAAATGTTAGCAAATAAAGAAAAAAGTAGAAATGAATCAAAAATACAAAATAAAATGAGTTTTGCGTTGAAATCATATTTTTGTAGGTTGGGGTTACTTCTGATAGTCTTTCTTTTTCCTCATTCTGCAATAACATTTACCCATAGATGTAGAAAACATTTTAGTTTGCAGTGCAAAATGGAATTCTGCTTGAAAAAGTAACATAGAAAAATAGCACTTTCCCCCCTGATAAATTATGCACTTAATTGTTCTTGGCTGGGGGTGAGGATGGAGATTGACACAGAGCAGCTATGCAAAATGGTTAGGGCTAAGAGTAGAACTAAATGCTACAACAATCTTCCTCTGGGTTTAGGGGCAGTTTGTGATGTTNAAGGAGGGAAGGAAGGAGGAAAGGAAGGAGAGAAGGAGAGAAGAAAGGAGGGAAGGAAGGAGGGAAGGAAGGAGGGAGAGAAGAAAGGAGGGAGAGAAGGAAGGGGGAAGGAAGGAAGAAGAAGTAGGATTGTTGTAAAATAAGATGGGTGTATGGGATGGTAAGAAAGCAATCTCAATAAAACTATAAAAAAAATACTATACAAAGTTAACTTCAAGACAGAGGGAGGCTGCACGAAACGAGGCCAGGAAGGGTCTCTCGATTTCTCGTCCCACCCACCTCTCCGTTATTCGTTTCCCCTTCTTCCCCCCGACCTTGAAACTCTTGAGGCAAGCCATCGCTCGCTAGTCGACTGGGCCTTCCATCCTTCCGAGGTCGGTAAAAACGAGGACCCAGATTGTTGGGAGCAATTAGGCTGACTCTGCAAACCGCTTAGAGACGGCTGTAAAGCACCGTGTAGCGGTACATACATAAAGTCTAAACGCTATTGCTGGTTCTCCAATCGCCGGCTAAGCGGCCACCCGACCCACCGACCCCTCCCGGCGGCGCGATCAAGGCCAGCCCGGGTTGCCTCTGCTTTTCCTCCGTCACGTGAGCAGAAGCCGCCGCGGCCGTCGCAATGCTCGCCTCCCGCCAGACGCAGTATGAGGAAGTCGACGAGAGGCGCCCTCGTCCCGTTGCCATCGCGCTGCACAGGCGGAGAGAAGCGAGCGTCGTGCGTGAGTTTCAAAGCCGGTCAAAAGCTTCCTTCGCCCGGGATTGAAAGGGGGGGGGGGGGGACCCGACTGCTATTGCCGGTACAGGCGGGCGGGAGAGCGCATTCCCCGCGCAGCAGAAGCCGTATTCCAACTCGGGTCAACTCAAAAGGCGGGCAGGATAAAGGCAAGGGGAGAGGACCCCCCCCCCACTTCCCTCCAATATTAATTGGAAACTATAATGGGGAGTCCGCGCCCTCTCAAGCACATCTCTAGCCTGGTTTAAGTTTTTGCCTGGGCGCTGGCTTGCTTTCGCTTCGTCCCCCTTCCTGACTCCCCCTTCGGGCTGTAAGCAGGGAAGAAAACTTGTCCTGCAGCCCTGGAAGGAGGGGGAACAAAATGGGGGCGGGGGAGAAAGTTGGGCTTTTTCGGCATTGCAAGGCAAGAAATGAGGCGGCGGCGGCGGCTATTGCTCGGCCGGGATGCTTTATTCTTGCCAGCTGTGCTTTTTAGGCAGATGTTGGGGCGGCACCCACCACCCTCCCTCCGGCTTGCTTCTCTGGTCGCCCCGGCAACTTCGGAAAGGGTCGGCTTTTTGCGCCGGAATTCAAGCCGAGCTGCCGCTTCCTCGCAGCCCTGCTCGATTGAGAGACACCCGCCTCCGGATCTGCTTTTTTTCCCTCCCTCCCCGTGCAGGTTGGAGGCGTTTTTGGCAGCGGCAGCAGCAAGAGGAGGAGGAACGGCCGCCCGTCCGCAGCCGGCGAGCCAGGTCGCTTTGCGTGAGGAGGAGGAGGAGGCGGCGGCGGCGGCGAGGGACCCCGCGGCGGTGTCGGGAGGCCAAGCGAGCGGGAGCAGAAGCAGGAGCCCCCAATGGAGGAAGAGGAGAAGATGGTGGCCGCCGCCGCCGCCGCCGCCGTGGTTGGCGAGGAATGGCAAGGTGTGGCGCAAAGGAGAAAAGCCTGGGCTAAAAGCAGGGATTCCTGGCAAGCGTCGGAGGCCGAGCGCCTGTCTCCAGAGCCGGCGGATCTGGCCGCGGAACAGGAGCTGTGCGGTGCCAAGTTGCCCTTGACGGCGGAAGGAGGTCAGTCTCTTCGGGCGCAGCGAGTCGCTCGTTCCGCCCCTCCCCGCGGGTAGCGAGGTGCGAAAGAAAGAAAGAGAAAGAAAGAAAGAAAGGGAAAAAAAGAAAAGAAAAAGAAAGAGCCTCGTCGACACCTGAAAGGCTTTTTTTGAAGCGCAGATTTATACTCGGCGCTTCCCGCATTCTGATGCGCGAGGCGAGGATGGCGCTTCTGTCAGGCGTTCGATGACGTCCGCTGAAGTTTATAGCTCAGGAAATCGGCTTAGTTTGCCTTTCACATGCCAGACACCAGGCTCTGCCTGCTCCTGCCGGGACAAATCCGGGACAGGGTGGGAAGGATTTCTAGTTCCCGCTTCAATAGAAACTCCTTTTTTTTTTCCTTTTTGGAGAAAGTAAGCTATGCTGACCTTGGGGAGAAGGTTTGTTTCCCACAAACCTCTGTCCTGGCCGGCTTTTAAATATAGGTTAAATTATATTTACCTAAGAGGGCTCTTCTGTGCTTACTGCACTGTATTGATCAAAGTAGTAAGAGTCCTACTGCGTTGGGTTGAATTGAATTAAAGGGGTCTCACTCCTGGAGGGTATTTATATATATATATGATTTACACAGCTGGTGCTTAAATTGTACATGTTTGCTGTTTTCTTGTCCCGGAAAAATTATGAATGATCACAGCTGCTCCCAAATAATGTGCATGGATTGATTTGCATTGCAGGTTGCTTAGTTTAAGATTCTGTCTAGTTTTTTTTTTTTTAAAAAAAATTGGTTCCTCAACTAACTTTTTTCCCCTTGGATTTGTTTTGCTCTGCTGCCCTCCCTCTGTCCTGCAGGCGCTATTCCCAATGAAAAGATTGCAATATGGCTTAAAGATTGTAGGTAAGCATTTCTTGTGAAGTATTGTGCAATTATTAAATGTGGTTTTTTTCCCAGCATTAAGTAGAGATTGGTTTTGATTGCCAGCAAGTGCATGGGTGGAATACAATTCTTCGTTGTGATTAGAGTGCTGCAGACGCAGTTTTATTTGTGTGTGTGTGTGTGTGTGTGTGTGTGTGTG